TTTAAAAAATAGACCCAGAAATTTGGATCAAATATTGCAGAAGTTATTCCCTGCTTACATTGAGACTGGTGTGAGAGCTGACACTTGGCCATGCAGTTGTCTGGGGACCTAGGCAGATTGTGGATATATTCAGTACAAGACTTTCAAGGTCACCTGGATGATTCACTCCAGGGAAAAAGAACATAAATGCATTAATGGCAGGTGTCTACAGGCAATGCCAAAAGTGAAGCACATTCATATTTTATTGGGTAGATCTTAGTTACATAACCATGCCTAAATATTAGGAAGACTGAAAATTATAGTCTGTCCTAGGAAGAAGACAAGAGAATGGATTTTGGGGAGTAGTTAGCAATTTCTGCTAATTAGGACTTAAAACAGAACTTACTACATTTCTCTATTCAATGAATACTTGTTTGTCGTTATTGGGAACTTCAATCAGACTCGCTTTTCTTTTTTCTGTTTTTTAAAATTTTTTACAATAAGCCAGATATCTTATAAAAGTTAGATCTAAGCCCTACCTCTTAGATTTGTGAATATCAAGCAACTGAAAAAAGGGAGAATATAAAATCACAAAGAATTTTTCAAGTTTGTCAAATGAATTGTGCCCATGTAATTATAATTCTTTTTTCAGCAGGTTAAATTATAGATTTATAGGCTAGAATAAAAGGTTTGGGGGCTCAAAAGGTATCTTCTAGTTCATCCTTTTTATTATATAAACAAGGAAATTGAGAGCTAGAGATTTAATTGCATGCCTAACTGTACAAAAAGTGTTAGTGGGAGAGTCAGGTTAGGCTCTTTCTCAAGTCTAAGTCTCTTTCCATAATATTGTTTGTCACTTTCTTTGTTTGCAGTTATATAACCCACAAAGGAAAATCTGTAAGTTACAAGTCTATGAAAAAATGTCCATCTATTTGTATAGATGAAGTAAGAAACAACAAGTTGTTATTGAAATAGGACTATCATGTCTACATCTGTATCTGGGAAATATATCCAAACAGCTTTCTAGAATTTCTAAACTTATCTGAAGATCTGTAATAAACTAGCTACTTACTAAAGGTTATTTTTTAAACAACTATATTACTCTTCTTTTTCTTCAACAAAATAATAATGACTTCTAAATAAATCTTCAAGTTTATACAATCCAGGACCAGCAGTTGGCGTAATGGCTACATTGCTAGACTCCCATGTAGTTGATCATTGTTCAAGTCCTGGACCTGGTGGCTTAAACTCATGCCGGGCACATGTGCATGTGTGCCCAAGATCCTGAGAGGAGAATGAAAGAAAAGGGATTGTGGCACAGCCATTCCCCTGAGAGGGGGTGATTTCTCGCTTTCTGTCTCTCTGTCTCTCTCTGCCTTTCTGGCAAGTGCACGTGCCCTATAGCAAAAACCTCTCAAAACAAAGTTTATATAATCCATGACATATGTGAAAAGGATATATATGTGTGATCACTATATTAATTAATATTTAGAATTAAAAGCTCATGGGAAATACATTACAAAATCTGAAATATTGTAAAATATATTTCTTGTAAGAAAGCCAATAAAAAAATTTAAAAAATAGAAAGTACTATTCTTGGAGCCAGCAGCTGGCATGGGGTTAAGGCACTGGACTCCCACATGGCCCACCATAATTCGAGACCTGGATCTGGCTTGAAAATCATGCCAGGCACCCATGCATACATGCCAGAAATCCTAGAAGGAGAATAGAGAAGGGAGTGCTGTGTGTCTATGTTCCTGGGGGGGGTGATTTCTTAGTTTGCCTCTCTCTGTCTCTGTTTCTCTTTAGTGAGCATATGTGCCCTCTAGGAAAAAAAAAAAAAAAAAAAAAAAAAAAACCTAAAAACGAAACAAAAAAACAACTATTCTTTTACTGTGGGTGAAAAACTCATGAGTGAGAAGTTTAACTATTATTTGGATGCTATACTAGAGAAGGTTGCTGAGTCTGGACTAATGAGCAGGAGGTTGTTTGGCAGCAGGAGCAGAGCAACGCCTAAATCAAACGAACTTGTTTCGTGAAGCTCTTCCGGCAGTGATTCTGACAGTGAAGATGACAAGAAGTTGAAGAGGAAAAAGCAAGTTGCTCCAGAAAAACCTATAGAGAAGCAAAAGACTGGTGAAATTTCTAGAGCTCTGTCCTCTTCCAGAGACGCAGCAGCAGCAGAGATGGTAACATGTTTCAGATTGGGAAAATGAGCTATGTCAGTGTTCGGGATTTTAAAGGGAAAGTTCTAATTGATATTAGGGAATATTGGATGGATCCCGAATGTGAAATGAAACCAGGAAGAAAAGGTATTTCTTTAAATCCGGAGCAATGGAGCCAGCTGAAGGAACAGATTTCTGACATTGATGATGTAGTAAGAAAACTAATGTCCGAACTGTATAAAACCTGTACAGTTCTAGTTGTTTTAATCTGTCTTTTTACATTGGCTTTTATTTTCTAAACGTTGTTTTCCAAGCTGCTGTATATTTGGAGTGCAGAACAATTTGTAAGATGAATACTTTTTTAAAATGTGCATTATTAAAAATGTTCCAAGCAAAGCTAACTGTCAACTTTATTAAGGATTGCTCTGTGCCCAGTACCTCGTGTAAAATAAAATCAAGTAATACAATCTAAAACTAACAAAAGAGAGAGAGAGAAGGTTGCTTATTTAGTAGTTGTCATCATAGTCTAATCTCATGTTATTTCTATAAAGATGTATACAATGGAAATTGCACAGGAAAAGTAACACAAATCTAGATATACTTAAATCATACACCTTTAGGAAATTCTAAAACTGTGAAATTTGGAGTTATCTCACCATACACTCATGCTCTGCATAGTGATAGTATGGTCAACTATGATCACAGAGACGCTGGCGATCCTGTAAGATTATAATAGGTCTAGCACACTACAGCCTAGGTCTGTATATACCATCTGGGTTTGTGTACATACACTCCATGATGTTTGCACAAGGCAATAACCTTGCAATGCCTTCCTCAGAATGAATCCCTGTTTAGCCACTCACAACTGAATTTATTTATATCATATATTAACTATGGTTGATCTTACAGCATGGTTGAATCAAAATCATTAGATTGACCCAGATTTTGTTTGTTTTCCTTCAAAGGAAAACTGAAGCACAATCTTCTAAACTGGTTTTTGTTGTAAACTTTAGAAACACAGCTATAAGCTAATATTCAGCTATAGAGTAATTCCTGTTTTTCACATTGAGTGAGAACTAAATAATTTGGCAAACTTATTTTAAGTGAAGATGAGAAAAGACTGCTTCCCCCCTGTCTACCTTCCACCATGCACAAATAAAAAGGTCTCTTTAATTTTGTGATGCAAAAGAAGTGTGAGATGTAGATAAGGGGCATGACCAGACTCGGTTACTTTCATGCAGCCTGTCTCATGTTTAATCTGCATTCAGTTGATTTTTGCCTTCTTCTGTTTAGATTGCTATGACAAAATACCTTGGACTTGTTAATTTATAAACAGACCATTTTTCCAACAGTGCTGGAAGCTGGAGGTCCAAGATCAAAGCTCCAGAAAATTTACTTCCTGGTGAGGGCTTGCTGTCTGGTTCAAATGTGGTGCCTTGAGGTGCCCTTACCTGGCACTGTAGAGAAAGGCTAAAGGAGCTGTTTGAACCCCTATGTAAGGGCACCACTCCCTTCATGATAGGGCGGCCTTCAGACTTAGTCACTTCTCAGAGGCCCTACATCGTAATTCTGTCACACTGGATATTAGGTCTCAACCTATACATTTTGGAGAGACATTGAAACATAGTAATTATTAATATACACAAATCTAGCAAAGTGTATAATTATTAATATAAAAAGCCAACAGAATATCAAGACTAAGACTCTCTTGTAACATATACTGTAGACTGTCATTTATAGTGCTTTGATTTTATAAGGATTTTTATGCAATATGCTATAGAATGGACATATAATTATTCTTTTAGGCTTTTAGTTGGATATTGCTTCTTAAATTATAGAGTATGTATTCCAAAATTTTTAGAGGCTACATTTTAGTATTTTTAGATGAATCTTATATTGGTCCTCAAGGTAACATGTCCTTTTTTTTTGTTGTTTTTGTTTTTTGCTTTTGTTTTTGTTTTCGTCTTAGGGTGCATGTGTTCACCAGAGAGAGAGAGAGACAAAGAAAGACAAAGTGAGAAATCACCCCCCAGGGGGGATGGACACACCACAGTTCCTTTTCCTCCATTCCCCTCTCAAGACTTTGGGCACACATGCACATGTACCCAGTGTGGTTTTCAAGTCACCAGACCCAGGACTCCAACTGTGGCTGGCCTTGCAGGAGTCCAGTGCCTAAATCACTAACCTACCTGCTGGCCCCCACAACATTTTTTTAAAAGGAAAATCGTAAGAAGGAAGCATCTATTCTTTTAACATCTTTGTAATTTGGACTCTATTAAAATCTACCTCTGATTTGATAGGTATTATGGAAAGCAATGGTTATTTTTTTAAAACAAAAAGCCAGGTTTGAAAACATGGATAGATTGTAATCTAACACAGATACTGTCAAAACTGTAAACTGCCAGTTTATTTTGATGATCTTTTTAAAAAAATGTATGTTAAATATTGTTACACAGGACTGCATACAAGTAAATGCAGGAAAATGAAGTTACATTTCAATGAACAATTATTTTCAATTATTTGTGTCCTCTAAAGACTTTCTAGGATGGAAAAACATCTAGGGTTGGTTTTGTTCGTATTCCATAATGTTTCCCTCTTTTAGAGACACACATTCAATGTTTTGTGTTCATGCAAATTTTTAACTCTCTAACTGCATGTATTAAGGGACATTGGCACCCTCAGTAGGACTATATTTAAAAAGTGAGTAGTTTTATTTTTATAGCACTAAGCACACTTTCTTTACACTGTGATGAATCTTGCTTTCTGCCTTTTATTTGCATAAGTAAAATCTTCCTTTTTGCATTATCGTGTATCTTTTCTGCATATAATTAACATTAGTCTTTTTTGACGATGCAGGGCTGGCTATTTGCCTCAGAATATTCCCCTGGAGATTATCAGATACCTGTCTGAGGAAAAGGATTTTCTTCCTTGGCATGCTGCCAGCCGAGCTCTTTATCCTCTAGATAAATTACTGGACCGAATGGAGAACTACAATGTCTTCAATGTAAAAAGATATAATTTCATCTTACTTTCAAAAGAGAAACCGTTTTCTCATTATCTCCAATACATGCAACTATCCTAAATTATTTTCATTCCTTCTAGTTTGTGTTACAATTTTTGTCTTGATTTTCTGTACAGAACTAATGACAATTATTTGAAGAAAAAAAATTTAATGCAAACAACTTTTGTTCCGGTCTACAAGTGTCCGTTTTGCTTAAATGGTTCAGAATTTAAGAACATACATGCCATATACTTAAAGTTCACACTTATTTTCAGAGTTAAAGGGCTCTGTGTTCACAGAAGACTTAACCTGAGAAGAGGGATCCCAAAGATCTTAATGGAATAGAGACGGTTTCAGTACAGATTCTTAGTCATTATTTTTATCCAGAAGGGCATAGTGAATTCAATTCACTTCCTTAATTAACAAGGATAAGATCAACATTGAGGCAAAAGCCCATTCATAATTGGGTCCAAGGGAATACAGGAGAGTAAACAACAGATAATCCAAATAGACATGAAGACATGACGAACATTCCAAAATGTTACCTGACCAGATTTGCTAACCTTGAAGCTCAATAAACCAAAATTGCACTGCTAACTTCACCTGATGTAGTCATCATTTCGAATAATATTAGGATTAAGTACTGCTAATGAGCTCCCGAGTCCTGTCTTTCTTACCACTGTGCTTTCTTTCACCTTTGCACACTATTTGTTTTCCTGTAGCATTGTAAGGCCTTGACCTATATTTTGTAAAATCATCCTGCTTTTTTTTTCTTTTAATTTTTACCAGTGGATACAGTGGATACATACATTCTGTCTCTATCCCTCCTTTCAGTAATTTGGACATGCATGCACATGTGCCTGGAAAGCAATGGTTAGTGGATACATGTATTTGCAGGAGACAGAGAGAGAGAGACATGGAGAGAGAGACATTCTGTCTCTATCCCTCCTTTCAGTAATTTGGACATGCATGCACATGTGCCTGGAAAGCAATGGTTATTTTTTAAAACAAAAAACCAGATTTGAAAACATGCATAGATTGTAATCTAACACAGATACTGTCAAAACTGTAAACTGCCAGTTAATTTTGCTGATCTTTTCTCTGTTTCTCAAGCCACTGGGTCTGGGATTTGAATGGTGAAGTTGGCCAGATGGGATCCAGCTGACTTCACCACCATGCCATAGGCTGGCCTAATCACCCTACTTCTTATGATGTACTGACTCTGCTAATTAACGACACATTTGAAATGACTGAAAACCTGATTGCCATGCCATGGAATCTGTCAATTAGAGATATATGTGTCTATTAACAAATAGTCTTAAGGCTATCAGTTACTTTTTTCTTACTCTAAGTCTACAGGAAAGCAGCTCTATTGTAATTTTTTTTTTAAGGGAATAACCCTGGTTTGACTGTTCATCATTGTTAATTTTGTCTACGCCTTTACAACAGACATGTAGATAAATGGGTTATTAAAGATATCATTTTTACCTGCTAGAAAGACTTTTACACTTTTTCTTCTTAACACAGAGCCACTGCAGTATTAAAACTTCTGCGAAAGTAAAATCCATTTTTGTATGTATTTGTACTTTAGAATAGCATAGCATGTCAGAAAGCTCATTTTCAGTAAAAGTTAAGAATTGCTTTTACTGTAATTTCAGTGCTTTCATTCCTTTGACAAAATTCAAGGACCACATTACAGTGAGGGAGAGCAAGATACATCGATGCTGATATTCAAATATATCATTAGCTGAATGGATTGTTGACTTTGAAATGCCATCTCATTACAGTGGAGTACCCGGTGTATCTCAGCTTCAACCACGCCAGGCTATTGCCCGGACCAATGTAACAGTTTTGCATTAAATATACTCTATTGACATAAAATGGATAAATATCTGATAATCATTTTCATAAAATGTAGCTACATACATTTGTGTATATATATATATATATATGAACACATACACACACACGTACTCTTATTAATATTCCTCATTTTTCTCATTCTGTTACAAAAAATTATTTGATATATTTAGTAGTACAAATTACTTGTCATTCAATAGGAAGAGAAGAATAGAATTCTACCATTCTAATAGTATTTACCCTTATTTTGTATGTTTGGAATACTAAAATGAGTAAAATTATTGTAAAGTCTTATCCCTGTTATTTTTCTGATGCTTAAAAGTAGGCACACATAAAAAATATTTTAATGATATTATATAAATTTTATTGATATCATGGAAAAGTTCGAAACTGAAGATATCTTTCTTTCTTATTCCTCTCCTTCCATTCAGGAATATATTTTGAAGCAAGTGGCAGCAGCGTATATCAAGCTCGGATGGCCTAAAAATAATTTCAATGGCTCTCTTGTTCAAGCATCCTACCAACATGAGTACTGCTTTATTTTCTTTTTGTTCTCCTCTTTTCCTCTGGAGCTGTACAATAACATACTATTTGTCCCATTGTGATTTTAGCAGTATGAGACGGTTTTTCTTTCATTCTGCATCTTAGATTCCTAGGAGAACTGTTACTGGGTAGCATAGTTTCCAGCTTTCCACTGCCTGATACTGACTGAGAACAAGGGCATTTTCTTGCTCTATTTGAATTTATCTTAAAATAAAAATAATGGATCATTATTCATGAATTAAATTAATTGATAATATTGAGATGAGCAGGCATGCCCCTCACTGTAGTACTGTTCAGAGAGAAGACTTTGACTGAATTTAACTTTTACTCTACTTCATTGTCTCAGCCACATGCGATCTAGAGATCTTTCAGTATTTTGTGTTAACAATTTACTTATCGACTGTTTAAGGAATGAGTCCCCCAGATTTTCTCTCCAGATAATAATACGGCTTTTATTTATTTATTTTCCCTTGTAACGCTCTCCAGAGAACTACGACGAGAAGTTATAATGCTGGCCTGTAGTTTTGGCAATAAGCACTGTCACCAGCAGGCATCCACACTTATTTCAGATTGGATTTCCAGCAACAGGAATAGGTAAGTTGAACCAAACCCCGTGTTTTCTGATATTATTTAACACCGTTTTCAGATTCATCATGGATGTATTCTATTTATTAGCCAGAGAAAAGCTAGACGAGAAACAAAAAGAAAAACAACACAGGAAACTTGTTTCAGGTTCACGGTTTACAAGGCAACATATGAAAGCCACAGTACGCTTTCTTTGGATGTTTTCTCCGTGTTTGAGGTCATCTTGCTTCATCTAGGCCCTAATTCTTTATAGAAAAAGTGTCACTTTATTTTAAGTTTCGTAAGCTCTGCCATTTTGTAAGAACAAAATAATTAAATTTAAGCCAGAGTTTTGAAGGTTCTTTAAAAGGTTGTGGTACTTATTCATAAAACAATTGCTATCACATGCTATAAGCCAAATAGCATAAAAAATACCCAGAAATAGTGCAAAACGCTGTACAAGGGCTCTTCAAGAAGTTCACAGAAAATAGCACCAAAAAATTAGGAAGAGAGATCTTTTGCTTTTCAGTGACCATCGACAATGACTAAGTTCACAGAAAATAGCACACACACACACAAAAAAAAATAGGAAAAGAGATCTTTAGCCTTTCAGTGACCATCGACAATGACCTTAGACTTGAATCTTATCTTGTAATATTAAATATAGTATTCTAATACATAATACAGGATTAAAATTATTTAATAGAATTCAAGAAAAAATTGAGCTATACGTCACTTGTTAATGAAATGAATCCTAAAACTCAAAGATTATTGGTGTTCTTATTATAATGCTTTAAACCTACAAAATGTGTTTTTTTTTTAATATTTATTTCTGAAGGCCTTTATAGTCTGTTTATTCCTTATAGTTTGCGTAGCCGATGTCCACTGCACTCCAGTATCTGGCCTTCATTTTTTTTTTTTTTTTGGAGAGGTTTTTTGCTATAGGGCGCATGTGCTTGCCAGAAAGAGAGAGAGACAGAGAGACAGAAAACGAGAAATCACCCCCCTGGGGGATGGCCATGCTCCAATCCCTTCTCCTCCATTCTTCTCTCAGGATCTTGGGCACGCATACACGTGCGCCCAGCGTGAGTTTAAGCCACCAGGTCCGGGGATCGAGCCGTGATTCCAGCAAAGTAGCCATTACGCTAACTGCTGGTCCCTCTGGCCTTCATTTTCAACTAAAGTCAGTTAGGAAGAAATAGGAGCCTGTAGGTGACAATTTATTCAGATGATAATATTTTATGTGCAAAGGACTTGTCTCTGGTGTGAGTGCTCAGGATGATACCATGGGCCACAAAGAAAGGGACTTGTTCTGAGTAAATAGACCAGTCAATGTAATCTACTTATGGAACAAATTGTTATTTTCTTCATTAAGTGTTATTTAGGTTTAAATTTAATATCTAACTGACTCTAAATCAAGGGATATCTATTGTGATTTAGAGGTCTCAGGGGGAAATTTTTCACTGCATTATTTACTAATTCATCTCAGCATTTCAGCTTCTGTAGTGTTTTTCTATTTGCCCTTGAAGTTAATTGCCTCTAGTCTGGGTAAGAAGAAAAATAACTTATCACTGTTGTCTATCAATTGATCCATCATATATTTGAAGACAGTGATTAAATCCGTCATAAGTCTGTAGAACCAAAGTGTGCTCCTATTTTAAACTTTTACTAATGATTGTCCTTTTTTGCTATCTTCTGAAAATTATTATATTAGGCCAGAAATAGTTATGCTATTTTTTTCTATCTTTTACCACCTTCTTCAATTCTAACACATTAATAAATAGGCCATGGAAACAAATATTAATACAAAATAGATACATCCAAGACTTTATTAAGATATACACCATATATACACATGGGGAAAATGATGAAATAGTTTATTACAAAATGTAGTCTCTACTTTTTTTCCTTTTGCTTTTGTTTGCTTCTGTTCTTTCTTTACTTTGCTACAAATACATGCTTTTTCTCAAAACTGATAATTGTTTTTTAACCCATTAATGAATTTATGGGTTATAACATATAGTGTTGAAACATAGTAAATTGGGCTTATTCCATTATA